TCCCAGTCCAGAAAGAGACCATGATTCTGTAGGGTTGAGAGAAGGAAGGAGCAAATGAGCAAAAGAGCTTAGACGTTCGATTTCTAACCAGGTCCCAGTGCCCTGGGGTGGGACAGGGGGAAACAAAAATGGGTTTGAGGAAATCTGAAGGCAGAGGACAGAGAGAAAAGGTGACTCTGTCTCTCTTCTGAGATGCAGCCTAGAACAACAGAGAGCCTTATAGAATAGGCCAATCCAATATGGTACAGGCAGGCACAGTGGAGTGGGCATAGTATATGAAGGAGCCTGGCAGAAGGTCCTGTGGTGGCTATAAGTATGCTCCACCTACCATAATGTGTATGTTTCATGTGTAGCAGAGAGTGAAAGAGCTGTGGCTTTGAGAGACTGCAGAAGCAGAGTAGCCCTGCACCCAAAATGTTTGATCAGAGACTCCACAAGGACTTCTATCCCAGAGGATGCCAGCTGGAGAGACGACTGAGGCTGTGGAGTAATGCCCCCCACCCCACAACTCCCATGTAGATGCCAGCCTGATGAGAAAGGCACTAGGAGGTGGGCAAGTGAAGTCCAAATCAGGAGGCCAATGCCTTATCCATTAGGTGACGGGGGCTCCTGAGAAGTCCAAATCAACTAAGATTATATAGAGATTTCATTTCTGCCTCTTAACAGCAATCTTATGAAAGAGATTCAATTCAGGTATACAGAAGTAAAGAAGCTTATGTTTAGTAAATACCTGAGGTTTTTACATTGATACTTACATTTCATACATATATGTATTGCATTTACCCTATGACTCAAATTTGCTTTTACTCATTTTTTAAAATGGAGTTTTCTGACTCAAGTAGATTTGAACCATCATCTGCCTAATTATTTAATACATAAATAGTATCCAAACAAAAATAGTTTCTTTGGAGTTGTAACCCCAAAGAAATATTATAACAGGATAAACTGAAACAGATTAACATTTTTCAGTAATTATTCAAAATTCTAGTAAATATAAAACTTAACACTATCTGAGTTATCTTGAGTTGCCACTGCCTTCCTGGATAATATCCACTGATAAAATCAGATTTCTTCTCTTTGACTTATATAAATACTAGTGTAGACTTAAAATAATATTTCCTTTAGATAATCAATGACATTAAAATTATTAAATCTCTGACAATCCTCTGTTGAGCTATAACATCAATTACTGGGTACTGAATTCCTTCTGTGGTTCAAGTATTTTGCACACGTTATGTTATTGATTTCTCACAACCATCATTGAGGGTGTTATTGTCCCTATTTCACACCTTAGGGAAGTGAGGCTGAGCACAGGGTTATACTAAGAGGTGGCCCATTTGCGCCACAGACCCCAGTCTGCCAACTCCCACACAGGTGGAAGATGCTTTTACCTCTACTACTCTGCTGTTCCTCTCTGCTCAGTCTTTTTATCACTTAAAACAATAAAATAAAATAAAGCATGGAGAGATGGTAAATAGTTTTAATTTCTTCTTTTTTCTAATTTACATCTAGCTGTTATGGAAATTAAAACAGCCATAGCAAAATACTCACCCTTTGAAAAGTAACATACTATACATTTTAATATTCTCAAACCAAATATGATATTCAGTAAATGGTTATAGAGGATTGATATCTATGTTTTGACCTACCTCCTTTGAGAAACATTATGTGTAGTAAAAAACATTTTTATATCACAGAAAATTTGTCTCCAATGTGCTGTTGGGCCATAAGTTGTCTATTTATTACATCCCAGAGGGAGAAAGTCGAGTCGAAAAGATTCTGCAGTTTAACTATGAGAGGACATTATACATTTCAGAGAAAGAAAGAAAAAATCCATCAAAAGCTAAGTAGATAAATTAAGGATTCCATAATAAGTTTTGGGATATAATTTTCATTAGAGCTAATAGGTCTGTATACCAGATGTAGAAAAAGGACTTGCCTCAACCAATTTTGTCCTGTCCACCTGCAGCTGATTACCTTTTGGTGGCCTGGAGGTAGAGGAGAGCTGGTACAACAGAAATGAAGAGAGAAAATACAGATAGAGTGACCAGAAGTTGTGTCCGGAAGAAAGTCTCAGGATATACAGTGTGGGAAGGCACTGAGGTCCGAAACTAGAAAATAAGGCAAAACAAACCAAACCCCTTGGGAAAAAAATGAAGTGCAACACGGAACACAGTATGCGCTGGTGTGCTCTTTTCATGTGGTAGGCAGTAGAGTTTTGTGGACTGAACACATGAACATTACAAAGAATTTTAGTAATAACAAAAGCTACTATTTATTGAATGCTTCTTTATGTGCCAGAGATTGTGCTAAATACTTAATAGAGATTATTTTATTCAGTCCTCACAAGAACCCTATGACAATTATTGGTTTTGCTTCCATTTTGCAGGTGAGGAAGTGGAGGGTTAAAGAGATCAAGCATTTGCTGGAAGATACACATTTAGTAAGTGGCACAGCAATCTGACTCCAGGTCTAGAACTCTCTCTGCTCCCTTGCAGTACTGATGGTATCAGACAGGGTTCTTGCTGGCAAACAACAATAATAAACTCTGTCTAAAGAAAAATAACACTGGAAGAAGGGGGAAGAGGGTGTGGAGAAGCAGAGCTCCTGGATCCCAGGAGGCTGAGAGAGACTTGGGGAAGCTTGGGAACCAGGCAGGAGCCAGGGTTTCAGACCACAGGAAGACTCTCTCTAAGGTATGGCCATTCTGCTTTTGTAGCTTCCCACCTAGAAGCCATCGCTAAACACCATGCTGCCCCACTAGCTGCCCAAGATGCTCTTCTTTCATCTCAGGGGTGCACAGACCTGGGTGGGACAGTCCACTGCCAGGTGTCAGGGACCTTGCTCCATATGCATACAGATTGGGAGAGCAAGACTCAAAATCTTTGTCTTCCACAGCAGGAGGCAAGGTTATATAGCCCAACAAGACCACACTCAGTGAGGAATTCCTACAAAGGTAGAAGCCCAAAGGAGTGTTACAATGTTTTCTCAGACTACGTAGCAAATCATTCTGTTAGGAAAGTGAATGGAAGTCTATACATAATTTTGAAAGGGCAGGCAAAGATCAAATTGTGCAAACACTAAATACTCCAAATCAAAACATGACTGACCTGAAAATTCATCCTATAGATGTACTGGCAATCTTTAAGTGCAAACTTTGAAAGGCAAATTTGGTAACTCGTATGCTAAATGTCAATTAATTAGACTGTTTAGGCCAGGTGAGGTGGCTCAGGCCTGTAATCCCAGCACTTTGAGAGGCCAAGGCAAGCAGATTGCTTGAGCCAGGAGTTTGAGATCAGCCTGGATGACATGGTGAAACCCTATTTCTACAAAAAATAAAAAATTGGCTGGTTGTGGCGGGCCACACCTGTGGTCCCAGCTACTCAGGAAGCTGAGGCAGGGGAATCACTTGAGTGATCACTTGAGGGATCCAGGCTTCAGTGAGCCAAGATTGCATCACTGTATTCCAGCCTGGGCAACAGAGCAAGACTCTGTCTCAAATAAACAAACAAAGGATTATTTAGAGAATTGAATGTTATTGTTAAATGTCTAGTTGTGATTAAGCTGTTAAAAAGACCCATAAACATTTCTATTTCAGATCTTGCCACTAAAATTTTTAATAAAATATTTAGATTGTGAAGATTTTGAAGTGCCTCATATTTATTAGTGCCACAGTGCGTGGTTGTAAAGTACAGTGAGTGTGGACTGTGCTGTGTCCATATACTAGGGCATATGTTCCATGTACATTTCATTAACCTTCTATTGTGAATTTGCCTTTTGTTCTCTTCATTTATATTGCATAAAAATGGGTAAATGGAGGAAATAAATTCTCTTCATTAAACAAACTTTGCTTTTTTTTAGAGACAGGGTCTTGCCCTGTCACCCACATTGGAGTACAGTGGCAGGATCATGGCTCACTGCAGCCTTAAACTCCTGGGCTCAAGAAAGCCTCCCACCTCAGCCTCCCAGGTAGCTGCACCAAACATTTCATTTGGTTCCCACTAGGTACAAGAACGTTAAGAAGAACTGTGAACATAAACATAAAGATGTTTTAAAAGAGACCAGGCACAATGGCTCACACCTGTAATCCCAGCATTTTGGGAGGACAAGGTAGCCAGATCACCTGAGGTTGGGAGTTCGACCAACATGGAGAAAACCCATCTCTACTAAAAATACAAAATTAGCCAGGCATGGTGGTGCATGCCTGTAATCCCAGCTACTCGGGAGGCTAAGGCAGGAGAGTTACTTGAACCCGGGAGGTGGAGGTTGTGATGAGCTGAAATCATGCGATTGCACTCCAACCTGAGCAACAAGAGCAAAACTCTGCCTTAAAACAAACAAACAAACAAAAGATGTTTTAAAAGTATGGTGGGAGGCAAGGCACAGTGGCTCATGCCTGTAATCCCAGCTATTTGGGAGGCCGAGGCAGGTAGATTGCTTCAGCCCAGAAATTCGAGACCAGCCTTGGCAACATGGCAAAATCCTGCCTCTATAAAAAAATATATAAATTAGTTGGGTGTGGTCACACACCTGTAGTCCCAGCTACCTGAGGGGGAGGTGGGAGGTTGCAGTGAGCCAAGATTGCACCATTGTACTCCAGCTTGAGCAACAAGAGTGAGACCCTGTCTCAAAAAATAAATAAATAAAAATAATAGTGAGATGGGAATTAAGAAAAGAAGACAACTAATCCTGAGTGAGGGATAGAAGCAGTGACCATCTGAGCTGACCCTTGAAGGATGATAGGTAGGATATTGTCAGGTAAGGGAGGAAGGAAGAGGAGCATTCTAGGCAGAAAGAATAATATAAAACAAAAATGTCAAGAGATGAAAGTACAAATAGAATTAAGGGAAGAGTGAATAATTCAGTATGCTGGGATGAGGGTGTTAAAGGGGGCTATGAGGTCACTTTGAAGGTAGGATGAGACCAGATTGTCAATGGTCTTGAATATTATGCTAAAATATTTTTCTGGGAGTCCTTGAAATCACATTCTCTCTCCTCTCTCTCTCTCTCTCTCTCTCTCTCTCTCTCTCTCTCTCTCTCTCTCTCTCTCTCTCCTCTCTCTCTCTCTCTCTCTCTCTCTCTCTCTCTCTCTCTCTCTCTCTCTCTCTCTCTCTCTCTTCAGGGTCTTCTATTGCCTACACTGGAGTGCAGTGGCATAATCATGGCCTATAGCAACCTCTACCTCCCAGGCTCAAGTAATCCTCCCACCTCAGTCTTCCAAGTAGTAGAGATAGAGTTTTGCCATGTTTTCAAAGCTGGTCTTGAACTCCAGGGCTCAAGCGATCCACCTGCCTCAGCCCCCCGAAGTGCTGGGTTTACAGGTGTGAGCCCCACTGTGTCTCTTTAAATATAGGAGTGATATGATCATAAATGTGAGATAGGATGATCACCCTGACCGCAGATAAAAGGCAGCAAGGGAGACTAGAGATAAGTAATTACATAAGAGGGGTTTGCAATAGTCCAAGATGTAATATACGATTGCTTAGTCCTGTGAAGTAGTGGTTGGGAGGAATTCGTTCTCTGAGAGTCACCTTATAGACAGAACCCATAGAAATTGGTATCTGATTGAACATGAGCAGGAGGTGAATATATGAATATTTTGGATAATAGAGCCCATTGCACAATAACCATCTCACTTTGCAAAAATAACAATTAACAATTATGCTTCCGCTGGGCATGGTGGTGCATGCCCATAGTCCCAGCTACGGTGGTGATTTCAAAGATGTTAAAATATGAACAAATGTGTGTCTCAGAATCAGCAAAATATAGTATGTATTATGTTATCATATCTCACTACAAGATACTTAGCAGGTACCCCCAAAAATACTTGTTGACTTGATATTTATAAACATGATGATGTGGAGTTCATATTTTTAGTAAGAGTCTTTTTGATAAACACATTTCCTTTTCAGCACATTGAATGGAACCTCAGGTATTAACTGTAAAGAAACTAAAATATAGGTAGCAAACTAACTTTAAACTTAAGAAAAAGTTTAGTTGTGACTTCTCATTACCTCTCATTTGTCTCTGCCCTCCTAAATGAGGAAATGTGTTCTCTTTCGGGGTCCACCAGGGGGTGTAGTTTTAAGGGCAAGAATTTCCAGGCGCCATGCCCCGCTACCATCTCTCTCTGGGAGATTTAACAGTTTGTGTTTCAATTTTGCGGGCGTGGGAAGAAACTAAAAGTCAATTACTCTAGCAGAAGGTCTAAGGAACTCCTTTCATTGGCTAGAGGAACTTGGGAAGGTGGGAATTTCCCCCAGGATAAATTCCCCTGCTCCTTTACCCATACCGGATTTCCAGCTTTCTGGAATCCCCTTCCACACTCTTCATGGAGTCTTTCTCTTCTTCTCCTTTCCTTCTCTTTCCTCTACCTAAATAAAATCACCTTTCTACAACACTTTTTGGGTCCAATATTTACTTTTTCGAGCATATGGTGCACCTGCAGTGGTCCCATCTCTTATTCTTTAAAAGACTGGAGAACAAAAACCCACAGCATTCTCTCGCGGGAGCTGTGCCCCACCAGCACTCAAGAAAAAACCCAGTTACACTATTATCTCCTATAATTTATTGATTTATCTCTCAAAGGACTTTCTCCTCTTTCTTTCACCCTTCATAACCTGTAGAGCTACATGTGAATTTTCTATTTGGAGAAATTAGAGAATTAAGGTAGCAAACATGAAGTTTAATAGCCACTGGCATAAACCTAAGACAAAGTATTCGGATGCATACTTGTGAGACAATTTTTCAGAATCACCCCACAATCTAGATAAGATATTGAATATGGTGAAGGATGAAAGGGGTGGAACCACATGAGCCGCAGGGAGAGATAGAGAGATGTCCACATCTGCCAGATTCAGTTCCATCTATGGTCAATACCAAGAGCTATGTGGAAGCCAACTCAGACTCTTGCTCACTGTAGAGGATCTAACACTGTGTTATTAATTAACCACAACATATAACTTAGATTTTTTTACTCAGAAAAATAAAAAATAATAATGATATTATAATAATAGCAACCCAAATTGAACATGACTGTATGATTAGCACTATGCTAAATTATTTACATAAATTATCTCATTTGATCCTTGCAATAATTTTATATGTTAGCTCTTGCTGCAATAACACTTTGTAACAAGCCACCCAAAAACCCAGTAACTTAGAGCAACAGTAATTATTTTTTTCATCAGTCTGCAAGGCAACTATTATTTGGGCGAACCAGGCTGAGCTCTGCCGCATACCTCTCCTTCCAACTGTGAGCAAGGTAGGCTTGGCTCCAGGGTGTGTGTTGGAGCAGATTTGCTCCATATGTCTCTTATCATTCAGGACAAACCTGGAGTGTATTCTTCTCATGGTGGCAGTAGGAGTGTAAGAGTACAAATGGAAACACATGATGCCTGGGTTGGAACTGACACACTGTCACCTCTACCCACATCCCATGACCAAGACTAACATTGACAGGGAGGAAAAAATACTCTACCCTGAGAGAGGTAGGAGGGAATATTTGCCCAACTAGAATCAAATATATAATAAGGTAGGTATGTAGGTATATTATACCCATTTTAGAGATGAAGAAACCAAGTCACAGAAAAGACTAAATGATTTTCCCCAAAACACAGCTAGGAAGTCATGAAGCTGGGATTTGAATCTAAGCTGATTGCAGAAGCTAGGATCTTAACTATCACTCTACACCATTTTAATAAACAAGACTGTAGAAGGTATTACATAGAGAAGAACAGCACTGGTAATTTTATGATAAATGGAACCTGAGGAAAAGAAGTAGGCAAGATAAAAGACTCTATTTTGAGATCCTAATCAATAAAGATGACTTTCTCATTAGCTTTCATAGCTGTAAGAGGGTATGTTGTAGGACTTCACAGAGGATGTGGGTTTATTTATTTTTAGTATCCCCCCAATATAAACATATTAACATTTTATCTATTTAAATACTACCTTTGCTACTTATTTTCTACCTACCTACACTGAAAGAAACCTCGTATATTCTGATAATTATTGGTAACCTATAAAGTAATTAGTAAAGTGTCTTTTTGTAAGAACACTTGAGGGCTGAATGGCAGTCATATTAAAGCAACCTCAAAAACAATGAAGTCCAATAAAAACATTAGGTTCAAGTCTTAAGAAGTATACAAGGAATCCTGAAGAGAAAGAAGAAGAAAAAAACTGAAGCATGATGGTAAAATAGGAGAACCAGGTACAAATGTTACAAACAAGTCCTTTGCAAATATTTGTAAGGAAGAAAAGAGAGACTATGGAATAGAAAAGTAGGAGCTACACTCAGAAAACTTGCAAAGACTGAGAAATTGACCAGATCATGCAACTTCAGGGGATTATGATGCCCACAGACAGGCTATTTTCAAACTCTCTATGCTTCTTACACCAGAGTACTTCAGAAAAATTATTTTTCTTCTTATTGCAATAGCAAAAGAGTCTAACACATAATAGAACCCTAGGTCAGTGTCACAGATAAAACCCAAACTTATTGTGAGAGTCTCATTTCTCATTCTAGCTTTCTCTCGTATTATGATTTCAATTTCAAGTTGTAGCTATAGTCATTCGTTTTCCTTTAGAATAAGTATAAAGCTTAAATAGCTTCCAAAATATAAACTAGGGTTTGGATCTTGATTTAAGTAAATCAACTATAGAAAGATATTTTTCCCACCTTGACCTTCCAAAGTGCTGGGATTACAGACATGAGCTACCACACCTGGCTGATTTCTTGAACTAAGTAGTGATTTAACAAACATTTTTTTTTGTTGTTAAAACTTACAGAGCGGTGTATTAATCCTTCGTGCTTTCCTGTTTGTGCTGTATGTCACAATTTTTAAAAAAACATTTTAAGCTGGGTGCAGTGGCTCACACCTGTGATCCCAGCACTTTGGGAGGCCAAGATGAGCCAATTGTTCGAGATCACAAGTTCAAGACCAGCCTGGGCAACATGGCAAAATCCTGTCTCTGCAAAAAATACAAAATTAGCCAGGTATGGTGGTGCATGCCTGTAGTTGCAGCTACTCCAGAGGCTGAGGTGGGAGGATGGCTTAAGCCCAGGCGGCAGAGGTTGCCATGAGCTGAGATTGCACCACTGCACTCCGACCTGGGCGACAGAACGAGACCCTGTCTCAAGAAAAAAAAAAAAAAAAAGGTTTTGAAAAAGGAAGGTGGGGCTGGGTGCAGTGGCTCACGCCTGTAATCCCAGCACTTTGGGAGGCCGAGGCAGGTGGATCACGAGGTCAGGAGTTCAAGACCAGCCTGGCCAAGATGGTGGAACCCCATCTCTACTAAAAATATAAAAATCAGCCAGGCATAGTGGTGGGCGCCTGTAGTCCCAGATACTCTGGAGGCTGAGGCAGAAAATTGCTTGAACCCAGGCGGCAGAGGTTGCAGTGAGCCAAGATCGCACCGCTGCACTCTAGCCTGGGTGACAAAGCGAGACCGTCTCAAAAAAAAAAAAAAAGAAAAAGAAAAAACAAGTGGGAAAGAGAAAAAAAAAGTGATGGTAGTAGAAGACAGAGAAAGATAAGATTAGGTGGAGGTGGGTGGAAACCCTTCTCTTTGTCTTTTCCTTTCCTACCTGGCCTGATAGGTTAAGGCACTCAGGTCCTCTAACCAGATCCCTGCCGTCAACACAAAGGGTCTTTCAGCACCTCACTGGGAGACAGCACCACTATTTAAACAGGCCCTTCCACATTCCCCTCATTGTTTCAAGATAAAGTTAGGCATTGTTCTAGATGCCATGGGGATCCTATCCTCTGAATTCTTACTGTTGGGGAACTAACATACTTCAGCCACTCAAATCTTCTACCCTGCACAATTAACTTTCAAAAATCACAAGCCATTTTTGTAAAAAAAAAAAAAGATATTTTTAAGACAATTCAAATACTAAGAATTTTGGTAATTGTTTAGGTGCAATTATGTCGTTGCTACTTTTTAAAAAAATTATTATTATATTTTAGAGAGAGTCTTACTCTGTCACCCGGGCTAGAGTGCAGTGGTGCAATGTAGGCTCACTGTAACCTCTGCCTCTCGGGTTCAAGTGATTCTCATGCCTCCGCCTCCCAGGTAGGTGGGATTACAGGTGCCTGCCACCAGACCCAGCTAATTTTTATATTCTTAGTAGAGGCAGGGTTGTGCCATGTTGGCCAGGCTGGTCTCGAACTCCTTACCTCAGGTGAGCCACCCACCTTGGCTTCCCAAAGAGCTGGGATTACAGGCGTGACTCACCACGCCTGACCAATTGTCTTTTATATGTATATACTATACATGCATATGTTATGTGGGAAATTTATATGATTTGTCCTAGAATTAAAATGAGCTACATTCCTAAAAGTATAAGAAGTAAAAATATAGCTTTTAAAAATTATTATTGATTTGAAGTTAGGAGAATGTTTCCTTGAAAAGTGGAAAATAATAAGGGTTTGTGTTATAAACTTACTATGTCCCAGGCAATGATCGTGCTTTATGAGCTCAGACTACTCTTCAAAATTACCCATTGACATAGGTAGTGCTGTTCTTCCCCGTAAGAAAATGGGAGTACTGAGAAGTTGCATAATTTGCCCAACATTGTACTGTTGGTTACCAGCAAACCTGGGACTTAAACACAGGGCATCTGGCTCCCATGTCTGATCCCTTAGTCACTAAGCTCTGTCACTATCCATGGGAAGAGCATCTTTTGAAGAGCTGTTCTTTGTTTAGACTTCGGGGACCCAGTCTCTTTTAGTCTTAGAAAAATATAGCAACTCTTACTCCCTTTGATATCAGCATATTCCTTTTATTTTGTCATGCACTTCAAATCTATTACTCCCAACATAGTCATACTCACCCCATAATGTTCAGACATATTTATTACAGATGTTTATTTATGGCATGATTTCAAAAAACAGAAAACATTAGAGTAAGCTCTTCTGGTTAATTTAAATCAGGACAATTTTGAGAAACAGCTCTGACACTGTAGTAGTTGACAATGACATCTCTTTTATGTGAATGTCAGCTTCTGGGCAATGACCTTACATAAATTGCCCTAGTCACCTGATTTTCTCAAAAGGTCTTTTGCAAATTATTTGCAGCCTAGCCAGTTGATATCACTGCTTCCATACTGTGATATTGCCGAGGTTAATACAGGAGTCTCTCTCTCTCTTTTTCTCTCTTTCTGACACATTGTGTCAGAAGTAACAGAAATAGAGTATTTATTTATTTTTTTCTGAAATAGTGATTCTCAAACTGGCTGTATATTAGAATCTCCTGGAGAGTATTTGAAAAATACTGACACCTGGTCCTCAAGCCCAGAGATCAGCTGGGTGTGGTTACTTTGCTATTCGTGAGAAACAGTTAAACAGTAATAAAGAGCCAGCTAGATTTACAGTGTTGGAGACATTCTCTACTCTGTGCTTCCTGATCGTCTCATCATAAGTAAAGTACAACTCAAGTAACTTCTGAATTTGAGTATGGTGGTGGAGTGGAGATGGGAATGGAGCATAAAGCCCTAGCTCATTCATTCACTATTCATTCAACTGACAACAAATATTTATGCGGTGTCTATTCTTTGGCAGATACAGCATTGAGTTCTGGAGATGCAGTGGCAAACATAACAATTAAAGAAGAATGACATGGCCCTGTCTGAAATCTTCCTTTGTGTGTGTGTGCACACACATGCATGTGTGTTTTTTGTAGAGATGAGAGCTCACTTTGTTGTCCAGGCTGGTCTTGAACTCCTGGCTTCAAATGATCCTCCCGCCTTGGCCTCCCAAAGTGCTGGAATTACTGGCAGAAGCCACCACACCCAGCCTAGGGCCTCAAGTTTTAATCTGTGTTAATGCTAAGATCAATCCGGTTGGTGGGAAGCAAGTGGAGAAGATGAAATGAACTTAAGGAACCAGTCAGTTTACTAGCGAAACTTGTTCATGTAATAAAAACATTTTGGTACTTAAAAGGACTCAAGAGATTATCAACTTTTGTTTTAAAAATGAGTAATTTTAAACTCAGGAAGTTAAGTAACTAGTCTCTGATCATACAGCTATTCAGGACAGAGGTCTAGAACCTAGATGGCTATTTTATTATTATAAAATAATGACGTCAAGTAAAAACCTTCTCAGCAGATTTTTCTTTTCATTCCAAGTTTCTAAAAGAAAATAGTTCCCACAAAAAGCTTTTGTAAAAGAAAAGGAACAACTTCCCCTGTTGAGCTAATCCTAGTGTGAAATTAACTAGCAGGAGTGCTAGTCAATTCCACAAGTCAATTCCACACTGCTGCCCTGTAGGGAGAGAAACCAGAAAAAAGGAGAGCAGGTCTTGGTCCATTTCTTCCTTAACTACAGTTGTTCTAAGGTCAAACATATAGAACATTAAAGGAAATTGCAAAAAAGGACTATTGTGAATATGAGGAGTGAGGGTCTGAGACCCTTTAGGAAGACCTAAAAATTAAACCAAAGAGAACAATTGTAATAAAGAGTTATAGTTATATCTTCCCACACCACCTTTGAGGGCTAAATCTGCAATATGGAAAGTGCATTCAGGTATCTTCTTAATGATAAGAGAAATGCATATCTACACTATAATGAGATTCCATTTTATACTCATTTGTGTGGACATTTTAGGAAATTTGACAATATTAAGTGATGAGAAGATCTCTCATAAATGGCTGGTGGAAGTGTAAATTGGTATAGCCACTTTGGAAAGCTATTTGGCTTATTCATATACCCTACAACCAAGCAATTTCAGTGCTAGATATAAATCCTTGCCATGTGCATCTGGAGGCATTTGTAAACCTGTTCATGGCAGCATTGTTGTTATAGAAAAACACCCCAGAGCAATCCCAATGTCCACTGACAGGAGAGTGGATAAAGTATGGTATAGTCAGACAGTGGATACTAAATAACAGTCAAAACAAATTAACTGCCACTATGTACATTGATTTGGGTGAATCTTGGCAAAACAATGTTGAATAAATTTAAAAGGCCACAGAAAATTTATATCTAGCATGAAACTTTAAGTTAAAACTAACAAACCGCTGTTAAATGACAGATTTTTATGAATACATATATTATTAAATTATATTTTTGCAAAGTAATGGGAATGACAAATATCAGATTCAGGATAAAGATAACTTTACGGGTGTGGTGGCTCATGCCTGTAATCCCAGCACATTGGGAGGCATAGGCAGGCAGATCACGAGGTCAGAAGATAGAGACCATCCTGGCTAACATGGTGAAAACCTGTCTGTACTAAAAATGCAAAAAATTAGCCAGATGTGGCAGCACGTGCCTGTGGTCCCAGCTACTCGAGAGGGTGAAGCAAGAGAATCGCTTGAACTCAGGAGGCAGAAGTTGCAGTGAGCCGAGATAGTGCCAGTGCACTCCAGCCTGGGAGACAGAGCAAGGCTCTGTCTCAAAAAAACAAAACAAAACAACAACAACCCAAAAACACTTTAGTTTGGTGAAGTAAGAAGAAAGGGATGGAGAAAGGCCACATAGATAGAAGTAAGCTATGATCAATATTCTAGTTCTTGTGTTAGTGGCAGATTTACTTTATGTATTAAATTATACAAAGATTAATAGATAATTGTGTCAGTAATTTACTGCAGCATGATAAATTATCTCATAATTTAGCAACTTAAATATTTGTTATTTCACAGAGTTTCTAGGGTCAGGAATCTGGGTGCTTTGGGCTCAGGGTCTCTCAGGAGGTAATAGTCAGGCTGTCAATTAGAGCTGCAGTCTCTGAAGAGGCTAGAAAATCCATTTCCAACAAGGCTCATTCATGTGGTTGCTGGCATGAGGCTCAGTTCCTCACTACAGGGCTGCTCCTGAGATGGTTTCCCTGCAGAGGAGAGAGAAGAGGAGGGAAAGAGAGAGAAACAGAAAGACAGCAAGACAGACAGAAGGAGCAAGAAAATGCCCAAGATGGAAGCCACAATGTCTTTCATAAAACTACTAACAGAAACTACTATCAGAAGCGATATACCATCATTTCTGCTGGATGCTATTGATCACACAAACCAACCCTGGAACAATGTGGAAGGGGACTCAGGATGTGACTACCAGGAGGCAATGATTATTGGGCACCATCTTGGAGTCTGGCTACTACCATAATACAATCAAAAAGAACAATGCATGGTCCAACGATGAAATTTTGTGAAGAAGCAATTACATGTACCTGAGGTTGAAAAATAAGTGAATAAATAAACAAAGAGCATTTAGTTCTGAAGGTTATAGAACACAGGGGAAGGAATGAGGTGAGTTAGCTTTCATTCTGGCTCTACCACTTTCCAGCTTTACGATTTGGGGCAAATCATTTGACTTATTTCCATTTGTAGAATACTGATGAGGATACTTATTTGTCTTTTAAATTGTTTTTATTATGAAAATATTCGGCTGAGTGTGGTGGCTCACACCTGTAATCCCAGCACTTTGGGAGGCCGAGGTGGGTGGATCACGAGGTCAGGAGTTCAAGACCAGCCTGGCCAAGATGGTGAAACCCTGTCTCTACTAAAATATATAAATTAGATGGGTGTGGTGGTGGGTGCCTGTAATCCCAGCTACCCTGGGAGGCTGAGGCAGAGAATTGCTTGAACCCGGGAGGTGGAGGTTGCAGTGAGCCAAGACTGCGCCACTGCACTCCAGCCAGGGTGACAGAGCAAGATTGTCTAAAAAAAAAATATATATATATATATATATATATATACACATATATATACATTTATATACATATATAAATACACACAATAGAATACTATAATGAATACCATATGCCCATAATCTAGAACAACTTTATAGATTTTTAACATACTTCTTTCATCTATGTTTCTCTTCCTGAAGTGTCTTAAAGCAAATTCCTGGCATTGTGCTATTTTATCCCTATATACATTAGTAATGCATTACTTAAAAATACAGAATTTTCTATAGACTCACATGTAAAATTAATAACTCTTTTGCAATACCTAGTATAGCAAAACTCATTAAAATTTCTTTGAGTGTCTCAAAACTTACATTTAACAGAATGAGAATTCAAACAAGGTCTAAACATTACACTTGGTTTGCTTTGCCTCTTAAAGTGTTTCAATCTAGGGGAGTCCCTTTACTCCCTTCTTGCTCCTTGTCCTGTTGAAGAAACCCAGGCAGTTGGCTTGCAGACTATCCCACAGGCTGGATTTGTCCATTGGCTTCCTTGTGATGCCATTTTACTTATTTCTACCTCTCCTATGTTTCTAGAAGATTGGAAGGTAGTCCTGAAGACTTGATGAGATTTAGATTCAATTGTTTTGGCTAAAATATTTCTTAGGTGGTGGTGTATACTCCGTTAAGTACTACTGTACTTCAGAAGGCACATATGGGTAGACTCCCCACTCGCGTAGTGACACTGAGATTGATTAACAGCTGCAGGTGGTATCAGCCTGAGACCTTCACTGCAGAGTTCCCCATCAGCCTCCCATTTTGATAATTGTTGCCTAAATCAAATAATTCATGAGGAATTGTAAAATGGTGATTTCCTAATTCTATCTCTTCTCTTTCATTTGATGGAATTATGTTTATAAAGTAGAACTTTCCTTTATCAATCTGGGACTCTGGTTACCCCATTAGAAGTGGCTTGTTCCCTGTTTAACATCCTCTCAGTCCACCTTTTACTAAGGCCACTGATGCAGCAACCTGGTTCCTGCAGGTGTAACCTGAGAGCATCTCTCCTCGTCTGCATCGCATACGTCTCATTTTCTATCCCTGAGTTCCTCTGACACCACAAAGGAGGGATATTTGCCTAGCACTCACAAAGGACAGCTTAAAAGTATGTGGGAGGACAGGCCCCAAAGAGGAAACTTGAACCGACGGGAGATGGGAGCTGATAAATAACTGCTCTCTTCTTCCATCAAGCTGATAATTATGAAGTATATTCTACATGGCTCAAGGCCTCATGGCCCACAATGATGACAAACCAGAGAATACCCTTGTACTGACTCTCTCTGTTTCACTCTCCCTAGTCATCCACTTCTGCTTCCCGAGGTCACTGTCCAAAATAAACTACCTAAGAAGTAAGCCCTTGTCTCAGGTTCAACTCTCAAGGTGGTAAGCCAGGCTAAGACATCACTAACTATAATTCACACAGGAAAGGCAGGATAAATGCTCAATTCTTTCATTACATTGCAAATATTGAGAGTCTTGTCCTAGTTACATATAATAATAAACTCATGGATTTGTATATAATCAATGAATTCCAATCAGTTGTAGTTCTTACTTTTTTGGGTGCTCAGATTGTCCTCTTTTCAGTCAGTGGAAGCTCCTTGATGTGGATCCCTTTGTGCCTCTGACCTGTCCCTTTGAACTTTAATAGCTTCCTTGATTTCTGGCACAAGATGTTCAAGGTTCATCTACACATTTCTTGTCCCAGACTAAAACCTGCCCTTCCTCCAAAGAGCCTCATTTCTTTTCAAAGAAAATGATGTTTTTATTTTTTATTTTATTTTTTATTTTTGAGTCTGAGTTTCGCTCTTGTTACCCAGGCTGGAGTGCAATGGCGCAATCTCAGCTCACCGCAACCTCCGCAATTCTCCTGCCTCAGCCTCCTGAGTAGCTGGGATTACAGGCACGTGCCACCATGCCCAGCTAATTTTTTGTATTTTTAGTAGAAACAGGGTTTCACCATGTTGACCAGGGTGGTCTCAATCTCTTGACCTCGTGATCCACCTGCCTCGGCCTCCCAAAGTGCTGGGATTACAGGCGTGAGCCACTGCGCCCGGCCCGATGTTTTTAAAATAGAATGTGGCCAGGCCTAGTGGCTCACATCTGTAATTCCAGCATTTTGGGAGGCTGAGGTGGGTGGATCACCTGAGGTCAGGAGTTTGAGACCAGCCTGGCCAACATGGCAAAATCCTGTCTCTACTAAGAATATTAAAAAATTAGCTGGGTGTGGTGGCACGTGCCTGTAGTCCCAGCTACTCAGGAGGCTGAGGCACAAGAATCACTTGAAGCCTGGAAGCGGAGGTTGTGGTGGGCTGAAATCATGCCACTGCACTCCAGCCTGGGTGACAGAGTAAGACTCTGTCTCAAAAAAAAAAAAAAAAAAGAGTAGAATGTGAATACAAGTAATCACTACAAGATTTTCATTACTTGTAAGCCTTTCCAAGGGATAAAGGAAGTAAAATGCTTCTTTCCCCCCCACCCGCCCCAGTAATTCTTACTGGGATATAAGACATACATTTTTTTAAAGTAAAGGAATCATAAGTTCATATTCTTTATACTTCAACTTTAATATTACATGGATTCTACTTACTCTGAAAATCATGGTTCCTAAAAACTCTAATAATTGTTTTTACCTATAATATACAAGAATAGTTTGAAAGTACTATAATAATATCTGCATTTCAACCAGCAATAAGATTATTGACTAAAGCTTAAGATATCTTTGTACTTCTATATATCCTGAGCATATATTCTATTATGATTATACAGTGAAAACAATTTTCTAAAGTCATTTTTTACTTGGTGTGGTTATGCCACCAACTTAATATACAGTTAGATTATTAGTTTGTTTTCAAATTTTAGGAATTGCATTTTTCTTTTAGATTTAAAAGTATTTTGAAAATGGAAAAATATATATGATTCTAAAATCAAAACCATATAGCCAAGGTGTATTTAGAGTAGTGTAGCTCCCATGCCTGTCTCCTCCACCTGTTTCCTCCTGTTTCAAATATATGGAAATACGTATTTGTAGTTTAGCTGTCTTACCAAAAAGAAAAAGCACATATGCTGTTCTGCACCTTGGTTTTTTTCTTTTTACACTAATATATATTCTGGAGATCATTTCAACTCAGTGTAAAGAAATGGCCCTCATTCTTTTCATAGTTGCATAGTTTCATTGTGTAGATCTACTTGAGTTTGTTCAACCAGTCTCTTACCTAGGATTACCTGGATGGTTTCTAATCTTTTGCTATTACAAATAATACTGCAATGAATAATCTTGTGCATAAGACATTTTATATTTTGGGATATATTCCTAGAAGTGGGTTTCTAGGGCAACGGGCAATATGTATGTAATTTTGCTAGGGATTATCAAATTCCCTTCCATGACTGCTGTGTACCATTTTTGCATTCTCAATGGCAATATGTGCCATCTCCATAGCCTGCTAACCAAGTAGGTAGTCAAACTTTTGGATTTTTGCTAGTTTGATTACTTGCTTTCTTTATCATCTTGACCCAAGATATACCATGATGCTTTCATCTGCCTTTGGAAGAACTCTCTCAGGATAAACAATAGGTGATTGTATTGAGGGTGACTGAAGGAGGTTGGCTGCAATATCTCTATCTAATTCCACTCACCTAATCATGGAAATGCCAGCGCCCACAGCATCACCATCCTTGTTAAGACCTTGTATTTTGCAAGGTTGGCTCAGGTTTCCAGCCGAAGAAAAGGACATCAAATATGACCTTACTTCTTTCTAAGGTCAGCAGAGTGGCCAGTAAGTGAGTTCTACTGGTATAAGCCTCAAAATCCTGAAAAAGGTAAAGTAGGAACTGTGATCATTTTTTTGTCAGCTTGCAGTCTCCAAAACAACTCCAATGCCAAGGGGAAGTCCCTGAGTGTGACTGAAAGTTTCCACATATTGTAGAGTGACTACTCTCAAACCTTCAGGGCTCCTCACACCCAGGACCTCTTCTTTTGCTGCTTTATAGGAGTAAATGTCATGGATGGAGATTGTTTTTTTTCTTTCAGCAACTCCCGTTTCTCTGTACTGCAGTGGGCAATTTAGCACTCCAGGGGACAGACATTTGGTAATGTTTTGAGGCATAGCTGGTTGTCACAACTTGGAAAGGGGGACTGCTAACATCTAGTAGGTAGAGGTCCGGAATGCTACTAAACACTGTACAATATTGTGTACAGTGACTCTCCCCTTTCCCCCAGCAAAGAATTATCTGGTCCAAAATGCCAATAATGCCAAGGCTGAGAAATCCTGCTGTGTTCTTCTCTATGTACACATTCATAAACATCCTCAAAATGACTACTACCAGTGGCAGAGGAAGAGCAGAATCACAGAGACTCCCCCGCCCTTTTTCTCCAAAAGTCACTAGCAATTCAGAAATCTCTTCAATCATAAAGACTCTAAGGAATTATATATTTATCTGGGAGATTAAAGAACAAATACCATTTTAACCTTCTAAAAACTGATTATTATTAGATATAATACAACCTTTTAACTTTAAGTATAAAGGAAACTGCTGATTATTTAAAGTAAATGGGACCCAAAGTCCCATGAATAATCAAAAACTTGGTTAATAGAGTATGACCAGAGAATAATGCACTTGGCTTCTGTAGAGAAATTAAAGTACATGCTGTGAATTGGTATTGAGGAAATTACGTGAAAAGTTACCCTTAAGGAACCATGAGGCTGAAGGAACAGCCTCAGGTGCACAATATATCACATTAGTCTCGACCTCTCTTTGTATTTTCATGATTTCTTTCACCTTGGATAACCCAGAAGCTCTGGCCTTGGAACTTTCTGGAATGGTAAAGTATCTCACTCTCCATGTTTATTTTCATCTACTAACAGATCTGTTATTTTGTTGCCAAGAGTTTATCTCTTTCACAGGAATTATTTTCAAACTTCAGCTTACTTACTTTGAGGGCATAGACTGTGTATATAATCACCATCACATTAAATAAAATGTGCCCCTGAAAAGTTATACCTAAACTGAATATTTGTAAATAAAATAAAAAATTTAAATCACAAGGGAAACTTGCCAAAGGGAGTATGAAGCTAAATCTTTTGTAGAGAAAATCATCTTGTTTTGTAATGCGAACAACCACTCTTTATTTTAAGTCCCAATTTTTATTTGTAGCTCAAGAGGCTGGTTGAGTATTATGCATGATGCTCATTTGAAAAATACTGAAAGGCCAGGAGCGTTAGCTCACGCCCGTAATCCCAGCACTTTGGGATGCCGAGGTGGGGGTGGCGGGGAGGATCACCTGAGGTCAGGAGTTCGAGACCAGCCTAGCCCACATGGTGAAACCCCCGTCTCTACTAAAAATACAAAAATTAGCCAGGCATGGTGGAGGGCGCCTATAGTCCCAGCTACTTGGTAGGCTGAGGCACAAGAATTACTGAACCTGGAAGATGGAAGTTGCAGTAAGCTGAGAACCCGCCAACTGTACTCCAGCCTGGGTGACAGAGCAAGACTCATCTCAAAAAAAAATAAAAGTTTTAGAGAGTTTTACAAGCTATTTTTAAGAGTGTAAAAAATGGATAATATATCCTTTGTTATTAAGAAGGGTTAACACCTGTTTTAGGTGCTAAGAAAGTAGGTAAGATCCTAGACACACTTGCAAAAAACAATAGGTAGCATTACTGAAAAGATAATCACATTGACTGTTTCCTCTCAGCAATGAGGAGAAAATAGTGGACGGGAGTCTATTATTTAGACAGTGTAATCTTTCGGTTAAAATATGGATTCTGAAACCAGATTGTCTGGGCTCACATCCCTGCATAGTGTGGGCTTAGGCAAGATACACGACTCGACTGCACCGTGGTTTCCTCATACAAAACACGGAGAATACTAATATTATCTACTTAATGAGGTTGGTCTGAGGATTAAATAAAGTAATACATGAACTAGTACATGAAAAGCACTCCGGTCAGCGATAGTCTTGAATGCTGGAGTTGAGCTCCAGGGTAGGCATAAAGAGAGGATGAGACGCAGGGAGCAGGCAACGTTTCAGCCTTCCTCTCTGCACCCTCGGGCACCGCTGTTTCTTCCAGGGCTCAGTGAGGAGGCCGGTAATTCGAAACTGGATCCGAGGACTTTCCTTGGGACCCCTTTCCACCGCACCACGCCACCTTTCGTCTGATTGGTCTCTGAGTGCACGAGGGCTCAACCCACGCCCCGACTTGGGGTTTCACCGCTGAGCCGTGGCCCCAGCTCCAGGAGACATTGCAGCCCGAGTGGCTGCCTTTACGTTCGGCCACTGCCAGGGGCCGGTGGCGACAGCGATGAAAGGCTTCGGGAGGAACTGGCGCCTCCGCCGGACGCCCTTCCTAGCGGATGAGCCGGGGGCTAACCCTTGTTCGTGACACCAATTCTTATGCATGACACTCAGTGCTGGGCGCCGGGGACTCCTACGAATCTATACTCGGGCCAGACGCCGCGTGCAGACGGACCACTAGCCGCCCACAACTAAACCCCGTCAACAGTGATCTTCTTTGGCCAGGTAGGGGAGGGTGGGAGGAGCTTAACCTCGCCTTCCGGGGTTCATCTCCAAAGCACCGCCCCTTCGGGGGCGTTCTCCGGTACGCCGTAAAGCAGAGAGCAGTCTTAACAACCCGCCTCTGTCTTTACGGCAGGCCGCATTCCACACGTCTAATATGGCGTCCTCCGCATAGGCAGTGGCCGTGGTTTCTACCCTGGTGGCCGGGAGCAGTGCTGGGCTGGGTCTGTAGTTCGCCGAGTCTGGGCTGCAGAAAGTAGCAGTTAAAGTTCGTTTCTGGTCACGGCTCCAGGAAGCCACCCTCCTCTGAGGGTCAATAATTGCCGCTTGCTTTTAGTTACTGCAAGTTCCTCCTCTGCCCCTGGTTTGTTACCCGCGCCACCTCTGGATATCCCCAGGTCCCAGACCCTTCCAGACTCAAACCATGAACCTTCGGCAGCTGCTGTTCCGCTTGCCCCATTATCTCGGAGCCTCGGGTTCCCCGCGTCGCCTGTGGTGGTCCCCGTCCTTCGACACCATCTTCTCCGTGGGCTCTTGGCGTGGTCAGTCCTCCAAGTCCCCGGCCCACTGGAATCAGGTAGTGTCAGAGGCGGAGAAGATCGTGGGGTACCCCACGTCCTTCATGAGCCTTCGCTGCCTGCTGAGCGACGAGCTCAGCAACATCGCTATGCAGGTGCGGAAGCTGGTGGGCACTCAGCACCCTCTGCTTACCACAGCCAGGTGAGCTACCCCGCTCTCGCTGACACACACGCATTCATTGGAATTCTTTTTTTTCTGGCTGGCAGACACAGTCTACCTCTCTCGGACTAGCTCCCGGTTTATCCCTTTTCAGTCCTTTCTTTTTACTCAGTCCTCCTAGACATTCCATGTTGTCTCTTCTCTAGTCCACTTAACATTCTTGCTCAGCTGAGTGGATAAGTGGTTTTCTTTGAGAAACACTTCTACGCTTTCCGCGATTTTGCTTCTTAATTGTTGAGGATGAAGATGCCTCCGTGATTTGTGGAGAAATCAAGCAGGGAGGTAGGTTTATTGAGTCACTTACTAGAATTTTTTTTAAAAAATTGGATAGATTAATTTTCTGTCCCGCACAGTTCAGGGAAAGTAGGGAGGGAGAGAGAGAGGCTGAAGGTAGATAGTTCTTTCCAATGAATATCCTGGGGTTGAAGTAGGAATTTATCCTGTTGGTAGTCATTATCTTCCTGGGAGATTTCTCACTTATGCTCTACTACTACTGTGAAACCTGCCTTTAGGATTTATAAACCTTTTTTTTTTCCCCACTTAAAAAAATCCCACACCTTCTGATTTGTGATTAGTTTAAACGTACAGCAAAGTTACAAGAAATATACTACAGAGAACATACTTGCATACCCTATAATCAGATTCACCTACTACGTAGATATATATGTCTAAATATATGTCAGTATACATAAAATACATAAACATGCCAATATATATGTGTGTGTGTGTGTGTGTGTGTATATATATATATATACACACACTATTCACATGTATATATCTTTCTGTATTTTTTTTCGGAATCATTTGGTGGTAGGTTGTATATATCATGATCCTTTCCCCAAAAATACTTCAGTATGTATTTCCTAAGCATAGCGGTAATCTCCTACGTAAGTACACTACAGTTACCAACTTAGGTATATTTAATAGTCATATAATACTTTTATTTAATCTACCATTTAATTTCAGTTTTGTTAATTGAATAATAATGTTCTTTATAGTATTTTTTTAAAATATATTTTGTTGCCCAGGCTGGAGTGCAGTGGCACGATCTCCGCTCACTGCAACCTTCGCCTCCTGCGTTCAAATAATTCTCCTGTCTCAGCTTCTGGAGTAGCTGGGACTACTGGTGTGCGCCACCACATCCAGCTAATTTTTGTATTTTTAGTAGAGACGGGGTTTCATCATGTTAGCCAGGATGGTCTCCATCTCCTAACCTCGTGATCCGCCCACCTTGGGCTCCCAGAGTGCTGGGATTACAGGCATGAGCCAACAGGCCTGGCCCTTTATAGCATTCTTTACCCTCCAGGACACAATTCAGTCCAGGATCAAATATTGCATTTAGTTGTTATATTTCGTTCATCTTCAATCAGACAGATTTTCATATCTCTTCTTGGCTTTTGTGACTGGAACAGTGGTTCTCAACTGGGGCAATTTTGAGAGGACATTTGGCAATGTATGGAGACATTTTTGGTTGTCACAAATGGAGGCACATTACTGGCATTTAGTGGATAGAGGCCAGGGATGCTACCCTTCAATGCCCAGGGCAGACCCACAAATAATCAGGTGCTACAAAATGTCAGTAGTGCCAACGTGGAGAAATCCAGGAATAAAAGCACCTTTTTCTGTTGTTGTTTTTTAAAAGTAATCTATTTTGAAATAGTTATAGATTTACATGCAGTTAGAAGAAATAACACAAAGAAATCTAACATACACCTAACCCAGTTTCTCCCAATGGTAACATCTTTTGAAACAATGGTATAATATCATAAGCAGGATATTTACATTGATACAGTCAAGATGAACATATTCATCACTATAAGGATTCCTCATGTTGCTCTTTTTTAGCCACACTCACGTCCCTTGCCTGCCCTTTGCTTTAATTTTTAAGGCACCTGTCATTTTCTTACTGCAAAGGTTACCAAATAGCAATAATAAAGTGATTTTATTCTTTGGCATTTCCACCAGTTATTAGGAATGTCATCTTATGATTAGCTGGAATGTTTTCCAGAGATTCTAGGTGATACACACTCAAAACACATACACACACATATATGTTTAAAGCTTAATGAAATGAATAAGCCTACTACCCAACTTAACTGTAATTTTACCCATCCTGTTGAAGCTAAATGTGTACTTCTCAGTCTGTTTCTCTGACTCCCACTAAACTGTTTTAAACATTTTTTCTTTTCTTTTTTAAAATTTAAGTTCTAGGGTACATGTGCAGATCTTGCAGGATTGTTACATAGGTATACACATGCCATGGTAGTTTGCTGCTTCCATTCCCCCTTCACCTGCATTAGGTATTTCTCCTAATGCTATCTGTTCCCAACCTCCTCACTCCCTGCAATCCCTCCCCTAGCCCCCCACCCCTCAACAGACCCCAATGTGTAATGTTCCCCTCCCTGTGTCCATGTGTTCTCATTTTTCAGCACCCACTTATGAGTGAGAACATGTGGTGTGTGGTTTTCTGTTCTTGTGTCAGTTTGCTGAGAATGACGGTTTCCAGGTTCTCCACGTTCCTGCAAAGGACATGAACTCATTGTTTTTTATGGCTGCATAGTATTCCATGAGGTATATGTGCCACATTTTTTTTTAATCCAGTCTATCTTTGGTAGGCACTTGGGTTTGTTCCGTGACTTTGCTATTATGAACAGTGCTGCAATTAACATACGTGTGCACATTTTTCCTTTTCAAAATTACAATGGGACCTGGTATGGTGGCTCATGTCTGTGATCCCACCACTTTGGGAGGCAAAGTAGAAAGATTGCTTGAGCCCAGGAGTTCGAGACCAACCTGGGCAACAGAGCAAAACCCTCTGTCTACAAAAAAGTAAATTAGTTGGGCTTGGGGGTGCACATCTATAGTCCCAGCTACTTGGGAGGATTGGTTGAGTTGGGAGGTCAATGCTGTTGTGAGCCATGATTGCGCCACTGCCCTCCTGTCTGGGCAAGAGACCCTGTCTCAAAATAAAATGAAATAAATAAAATTACACTGTTATTTTTCTAAATAGTAATATTTCATTTTACTGGGTTTTTTTGTTTTCTTTTTTTTCATTTTACTGATTTCTTTGCAATGTACAAATATGATAGTTTATTGCATATGGCTCTTTGTGACTTTCTTTTTAAAATTCATGGTTTCGGAGATTCATCCATGTTTTATGTTTAACTGTATTTCATTAGGTTTTTATTGGTGTATGAAATTCTATTGTGTGAATATATCTAAATCGTCTTTTTAAAAAAAAATTTTTTTTGAGACAGAGTTTTGTTCTTGCTGCCCAGGCTGGAGTCCAGTCTCAGCTCACTGCAAGGTCTGCCTCCCAGGTTCAGGCAATTCTCCTGTCTCAGGTAGCTGGGATTACAGGTGCCCACCACCATGCCTGGCTAATTTTTGTATTTTTAGTAGAGACAGCATTTCACCAAGTTGGCCAGGCTGGTCTCAAACTCCTGACATCAGGTGATCTGCCCACCTTATCCTCCCAAAGTGCTGGGATTGTAGGTGTGATCCACCATGCTGGGCCTCACAGTAGTCTTATAATCAACTTTGGGTTGTTGTTGCATTTTTTGGTATTATGAAAAATGCTGTTATAAATATGTTTGCATCTCTTTTGGTGTTCATGTCATGAGGATATAAATACAGAAGTGTAATTGCTGGGTGTGCACATATTTATCTTTAGAATACTTTCTAAAGTGAATGTATCAGTTTATATTCTCGTAATCAACTTCTGAGTTCAGGTTACTCCTAGTTCTCATAACACTAGAACCAAAAGGTTTCTTATTTATTTATTTATTTATTTTATTTTTTGAGACAGAGTCTTGCTCTGTTGCCAGGCTGGAGTGCGGTGGCATGATCTCGGCTCATTGCAAATTCTGACTACCTGGTTCATGCGATTCTCCTGCCTCAGCCTCCCGTGTAGCTGGGATTACAGGCACGCGCCACCATACCCAGCCAATTTTTGTATGTTTAGTAGAGATGGGGTTTCACCATGTTGGCCACGATGGTCTCCATCTCCTAACCTCGTTATCTGCCCGCCTCAGCCTCCCAAAGTGCTAGGTTTATAGGCGTGAGCCACCATGCCTGGCTAAGGTTTCTTAATTTTTGCTGATCCAGTAGGAGATTTCTTTGTGATTGATGGGAATGATAATGTCAATGATAGAGGCTATACTAATATTAATATATTGCATTGTGAGTATTGCAGTCCTTAATAAAACACAGAAGTGAAAAGAGTATAGCTATAAAGAGCCTTATTAATTGTGTATATTTTGAGAACAGCAGTTCATCTACTTAGTTGCGAGAGCATCAGATGAGCGTTTGGAGAAG